AGTTGGTTGGAACGCTGTCCCAAACACCAAAGGTGGCAGATTCCATTCTTTGTCAGGGCACACATACTTGGGTGTGGGTTCGATCACTGGTTGGGGTGCATATGGGAGGCAACACATCTATGTTTCTCTCTCTAAAAAAAAAGTTGACTACATTAAAAAAAATATATTGTGTCCTAGTTTGCAAAATTCGGTCTTTTTGATAGACTAACTGAAGAGAGATTTAATAAATCAAGTGCATGCTGACTTATTAGGCTCCCAAGAAATACTGAGTGTGAAAAGAAAAAACGCTGTGGAATACTATGCAGCAGTAAAAAGAAGATTCCTTACTCTTTGAGACAGCATGGAGGAACCTGGAGAGTATTATGCTAAGTGAAATAAGCCAGTCAGAGAAAGACAAGTATCATATGATCTCACTCACATGTGGAATCTAATGAACAAAATAAACTGCTGTACAAAAAAGATCCAGAGACAGAGAAGCATAGAAAAGACGGCGGAATTTCAGAGGGTAGGCAGAGGAGTGTGGGTAGGTGGGAAGTGATCAAGCAAAGAACTCGTATGCATATATGCATAACCCACCCTTGCTGGTTTGGCTCAGTGGATAGAGTGCCAGCCTGCGAAACAAAGGGTTGGATTCTGGTCAAGGGCATGTACCTTGGTTTCAGGCTCTACTCCGGCTTGGGCCCTGGCAACCAATCGATGTGTTTCTCTCACATCAATATTTCGGTCTTTCCCTCTCTCTAAAAAGCAATGGGAAAATATCCTTGGGTGAAGATTAAATAAATAAATATTTTTTATTTATTTACTAGAAGCCCGTTGCACGAAGATTCACGCAATAGGCCTTTCTTCCCCTGGCTCCCGGCACCGATTTTCCTCTGGCACCTGGGACCCAGGCCTTTGGTTTGGCTGCAGCAGAGAAGCCAAGCCCCTTCAGTCTTTAGTCTTCACTCTGGCCAGAGCCTTCAGTTTTTGCTTCGCACCTATGTATGCAAATTAATCGCCATCTTTGTTGGGTTTATTTGCATACTCATCCTGATTGGCTGGTGGGCATAGCGGAGTGACACCAATTTGCATGTTTCTATTTTATTAGTGTAGATGGCTGGCTGTTCCTTGAGGGAAATGCCCTATACATGTGTATAGTCTGAACAATACCTTGTTACATGGTAGGGGCTCAATAAATTAAAACT